CTCCTCCTCCTCCTCCTCCTCCTCCTCCTCCTCCTCCTCCTCTGGGGCTGGGGCTGCCTCCTCCTCCTCCTCCTCCTCCTCCTCTGGGGCTGGGGTTGCCTCTGCAGAGAGAAAAAACAAACAGCAAGAGAAAAGAGAGAAATAGAAAGAGAAAACAGCAAATTAATGACACTGTAATTTATTGAAATAAATCATGAAGAATAGATCATGGAAAGAATGCATAATTGCTATGTATTGTTCTTTCACTCACGTCGAGGTCGGCGAGGTCGGCGAGGTCGGCGAGGCAACTGGACCGCAACAGTCTGCAACTGGACCAGCCTCTGCAGAGGGACAAAACAAACAGCAAGAGAAAACAGGACAGCAAATTAATGACACTGTCATTTATTTAAATACATTGATCATGGAAAGAATGCATAATTGCTATGTATTCTTCTTTCACTCACGGTATGGACGTCCAGCAGCTCCCTCTCCAGCTCACGGACCCGGAGGCGGGTATTGATGCACGTGCGCTTCATGCACATGCTGACGCCCGCCTCCGGGTCAGGCTGCTGGGCCTGGTCCTCCTGCTGGTCAAGGTGGCTGACCATGGGTGGATAGGGAGCGGTGGCCCTCAAGGCCGCCAGCTGGTTGATAGCTGCAGTGCGCTTGAGGGCATTGATCGCCCGATCCACCGTTGCTCTTGTGTATGTCTCTGTGTGGGTCCTCAAGTGTTTCTCCACGTGAAGGAGATGGGGAGAACATCCGGGAAAGGGGCAAGGTCCGGGGGGGACCACAGTCCGGCCGGTGGCCAGTTGATTGATGATAGCCCTCTCCCGGACGTTCTTTAGGGCGTGGATCTCCCTGAGATGCTTGGCTATTAGCAGGAGCACCTTGCCACAGATTGGGCACTCTGCGATGGTCTTGGGTTTAGTCATCTGTAAAAGTCATGAGATATTAGTTAAATACGTAATTGATTAACTAAACTAGATAACAAATGTATATTTGTTATAATGAATTACAGATCAGATCACACACAGGCCTGAGAGGGCACTAACACATAATCACGTAAATGGATTAACTTGTGTATTTGTAATAATGGATTAAACCTCACCAACTAGGAAGATGACACGCCGTTATTGTTCAATAATTAATAATGCAATAATAATAAACGGAGATTCTATCCATAGCGGAGGACAGGCCGAGGCCTGTGCACGTGCTCGGCACGTGCTCTGGCCACGCGCCAGGCCTGCGCCTGGCGCGTGGCCAGGCATGAACGCGCTCGGGGCCATGCGCACTACCATGTAATTACGTAAATGGATTAACTTGTATATTTGTAATAATGAATTAATCCTCACCATCTAGGAAGATGACACGCCGTTATTGTTCAATAATTAATAATGCAATAATAATAAACGGAGGACAGGCCGAGGCCTGTGCACGTGCTCGGCACAAGCAGGCCTGGCGCGTGGCCAGGCATGAACGCGCTCGGGATCAACGCACTAACACATAATCGCGTAAATGGATTAACTTGTGTATTTGTAATAATGGATTAAACCTCACCAACTAGGAAGATGACACGCCGTTATTGTTCAATAATTAATAATGCAATAATAATAAACGGAGGACAGGCCGAGGCCTGTGCACGTGCTCGGCACAAGCAGGCCTGGCGCGTGGCCAGGCATGAACGCGCTCGGGATCAACGCACTAACACATAATCGCGTAAATGGATTAACTTGTGTATTTGTAATAATGGATTAAACCTCACCAACTAGGAAGATGACACGCCGTTATTGTTCAATAATTAATAATGCAATAATGCGGAGGACAGGCCGAGGCCTACGGAGAGCACACACGTAATAACGGTCTAATCATAAACTGTAAATAATTCAAGTCATGCATTGTTCACTTACATTTGAATCTTGTTAATTACTCAAAGGTGTTGGTTCTCTGTCTACCTGCCTTCTGAGCTCTGCGCTTTAACATCTTATTAAATACCGGGGGGGGCGTGCCCAGCCATAAACGCGCTCGGGGCCATGCGCACTACCATGTAATTACGTAAATGGATTAACTTGTATATTTGTAATAATGAATTAATCCTCACCAACTAGGAAGCTGACACGCCGTTATTGTTCAATAATTAATAATGCAATAATAATAAACGGAGATTCTGTCCATAGCGGAGGACAGGCCGAGGCCTACGGAGAGCACACACGTAATAACGGTCTAATCATAAACTGTAAATAATTCAAGTCATGCATTGTTCACTTACATTTGAATCTTGTTAATTCCTCAAAGGTGT